AATCCCAGTGTTGTAGTCGAGTATTTTTTTCCCAAGTAACAAGTACTGCCGAGTACTTTGACTGCCGAGTGCAAAGACAGGTCGAGTAATTTTGCTAGCCGAGTACAAGTACTGGTTTCCGAGTACAAGTGCTTGCACTTCCGAGCACAGGTACGCGCACAAGTACTTCTAATTACGAGAAATTGGAACCAGACTACAAATGCCCAAGTAAATCACGGGACCAATCTGGAGTACCACAATATAATTCGCGTACTTGATTGGTTAAGTACGCCCACAGAATGCGAATGGGTCGTATATGTTAATGGTCCCGCATTCGGCCTTCTTTTTGTCAGAACCGTATCGAATATGAGGTCATTGGGGTCGATTTTTTTTTACCTTATATTAACGGCCATGGTAAGTTAACTTAAAGGATTTTTTTATCGAATACTGTTAATCGAGTACGAGTACTTTGATGCTCGAGTACAATTTTTGGATGTCGAGTTCCGAGTATTTTGTAGCCCAAGTGCAAGAACTGTAGTTCGCGTACAAGTACTTGGACGTCCAAGTACGAGTATGAGTACAAGTTCTCTGAAAACGGTACTTGAGTACGAGTACCGAGTATGAGTACAACAACACTGAAGAATTCTGCATTCCTACAGTACAGAATCCTGTAAACACAAGGAGTTAGAACGAAGTCCCTACAGACCGTAATCCGGTCGGCTCCATAGACAAAGCGTGGTTACCGGCCCCAGAGTGGAAGTCCCTAGACATTCTTTGTACACAGTGATCACCACCACCAGGTACATGTAGCTGGTAACCCACAGACTCGCCCTGTTTCGCTGCGTCCTACTGGAGTAAATACTGTAAATGGTGGAAAAGATACACAAAGAAGAAGCACAGTTCTCTTCAGTAGTCCTCAGGAGTCAGCGAGTGATCCTAGTCGCAGCAAGTGATCGTAAGTCGCAATCCTAGTGGTTCCTACGGTTAAAAGAAGGTGGAAACATGCTGCAGGAATGCGTCTCACAACGTGGCGAATTTTCATGCCGAGACAGTTGTGGCCAATGACAGGAAGAACAATGAATCTTCCCATGTTTTGTGTGTTTCGTTATTTTCCTCAGGACCAGCTACATTCTTTCAGTTTTCTTGTCGCGTATTTTTGAGAATTTGTGTTAGTTCTAATTCTGTTTATTGTTAAGAGAGACGTTTTGGGATGTAATGACATAACCAGACTTTCATTATTATTGGAATATTGGAACAATCGCTAAAATTATCGAAATTTAAGTCTCCGATGACAGTGGTTTCCGTCTCGATGGCAGCCATGTTGAACATGCGGAAGTGTTACAGACATGCATGCGTGGTACCCACAATCCTTTGCAAATGCAACTCCAAGCATTCCTTATAGCCTGCAAGCGGCACATAATTTGTTTTGTTCTTGCAGCATGTGCGATGCTGGCGGTGGCCATCATTGACCCTTTTGATCTCTGTATGTGCTTACTCGTACCGGTATAATAGCTCCATGGTCTAACTACATGTACATGCATGTACATGTACTGTTCCTCAGATCTCAAATACACATGTATGTATAAGTCAATTAGGAAATTCTAGTCCTTGCCTGGCATAATGCCTAGGATAAGCCTTAGTAATTCCCACTTCCGCTTTGAGAGTACAATGTTGCAAGAGTCCCAGTGCATATAAATGTCGATAAAGATTTTATTTCAAAGGGAACAACAGTGACAAGCTTAAACTTCCAGGGTAATACTACAGTAGCGCTATTCAGGAACAAGCAAGATTAGAGGTAATCCTAGTTGGAAGGATTTGAAGCTCTTGGTCTTGGTACTAGTATGTGTATCTCTATTAAAAATTGTAGTTCCATTGGAGAATCTTGCATTATCACTTCATCTGTGACAAGGAAGTTTTTATTTCTACTGTACATGTACATTTAAAGTCCCACACTACCAGTGCATGTACATGTACATGCATTCCTATACATGTATTCATGCAACGTACACGTGTTTACACAAAATGCAAGTCATGATGAGTAGCAACATGACATCGCATGACATCATGAAATGACAATTCTTGAACTCTGCTAAAGGACGGGAGTTTTGAAAGAGCACATTCACTATGCAACAACTAGCAAGTGGTGGGCAAAGCCATGAACAGAAATAATTACATTCTGTGATGGCATAATCAAATTAATTGGATTTTTTTCTGATAAATTTACCATTTTTGAATGAGAAAGGAAAACACATTGTGCTAAAAACTAGCTTTTCCTTTCTTTTTACTACACCAGCCATGTAACACAACAAATCTACAGGTAAATTTTTACGATAGTAAAGAAAAGGCCATGCACAGGTACCGGACATATCTAAGTTTTCATATTTTAGCTTTAAAGAGAACTTCACAAGCAAACTGTTGACAACTTTGAAATTAATCGGACTTGAGAATAGCAGGAAACATCCCTGCGATGACTCAGATGGGACTCCAGACACGAACAGCAAATGGAACCCACAACTCTCAGCAACCTTTTTTCAATACACACATGTACTGTACTTGTAGTGTCTGAGACAGGTGGGTTTCTCCTGGCTGCGCAGTGGATGCTTTTGGTTTGAGCCTCAGACTGTGCATTTATGCATGAGCTTGCGATGCTGGTGATCTCTTTGTAAGAATAAATTTGTTCCACTTGGAGCAAATATTTGCAAAAGTTCCAAATGTACAATATGCAGTCTCTTTTTAAAGTTCTATTTAACAGCATCATAAAAACCATTTTGTTCACAATTTCCTAGCATTTTGCTCTACAAAGTGGGCCCAGCTTGTTTTTGCCAAAAAGAAAGGCTTTTTTGTGTGTAAAAAACAGGTTCCAATACAAAATCTTATTGTTTGTCCAAAGAGTGTATTCATGGAAACCTCTCAAAGCTAACTTACAATGTAAGCTTGTTATTGAAACTCCACAAATGCACTAGAACTTTGTTTTCTGAAGTTGGACCTTTCTTCTTCTCAGGCAAAAGTTCTTGAGCCAAACTTTGACATCAGGTTCATGAGTAGTACCCAATGAACCTTTTCTCAAACTTTGTTTTCAGGAATTTGAAATAAGCCAATCTTTCCCATTTACTTTTCTGTCTCACTAAGTATCCTAGCCGCTCGGATTACCTTCGTCGCTGGGTGAAACTTACTTTGGGTCTTTGCACAGCAATTTTCGGATGAAATCTTTGGCAAGTTCACTGGTGGAAGAGAAATAGTCGTTGTCGAAGTCAAAGTCTGCTGCTGTCACATTCTCGTAAGTCTCCTGCTGGTCGTCACCAAGAAATGGGGAACATCCACTTAACCTGATTGAGACATGAAATATAAACAAGCAGTTAATTTAATTGGATAGATCCGCAAGTTTCACCGGAAGCTTTCCCCTAGCTGGGTAAACTGTGCTAAATACAAAATGTATCACTGAAGAAAAAAATTAAATGTGTCTGTTAAATGCTGAAATGAAAACTAATTTCTTTTCATCATTGCTGAACTTTTTATGTTTCTCAATCTCTCCTTTCTCACACTGCAAGACAATGAAATATCTTGACAAACACCCAACATGCATGAGGCAAGATGGCTCTAACATGCTGCTCCTGAAGCACAACATACAGTGTACATGTATCTTAATTCTAAACACTGCATGCAGCATGAAACTTTCGACTTGAGATTCTCGTATAACGGAATGTCAATTTTGACATTGCCTATTCAAACTGTACAAACTTCTGCCTCATCTGTAACTGCTATAAAAGTACTGTCATGTTTTGAGCTCCATTCAAGCAATCACTATGGTGACTTTTTCCAAATAGAACAATGACAAACAACAACCAGTGAAGCTTTCTTTACGGTTTGCAAAACCACAAAATTACATGTACAATGTACCGTACAATGTACATCTACTGTACTCACAAGATGTACGTGATGACTCCAATGGCCCTGTAAAACAAAACAGATAAATCATTATAGGAGAATTTTGCTCATGGAGTGAATGTCCAATGGTAGTGTACCATTTCAAATTCAAAATGACACCAGATCAAAACTTCCCCCGCAAAATTGCAAGAGTCATTTCCTTTTAGAGTTAGGCACCACTACAGTCTCCAATGTTTCCTTGAAAAACTGCTTGACTGATGTTTCTATGCCTGTGACTTTTTATTAGGGGATTTTTGTGTAAGACCAAGGATTTGGTTGACAAGTGCCGGTACGAATGTTACGGTGAGTGTAAGCATTGTTAAAACTCCTGGGCTGTAAATCGAACAGTTCCAATTTCTAAAACTGGGCATCCGTAACCACCTATACAAATTACTTTGCAACGCTTAAGTCAAAAAACGTTTCTAGTGGACATTAGAAGTAAAGGCCAGGCAACGGGGAATGCCAAATCAGATGTCATATTTATGTCCAAAGCCTAATCCACATCTGCTTATTCTTTTCAAAATTTAATTGGATTTTTTGGCATAAAATAAAACAGATTTTGTGCTGCCAGTACTACGTAGTTTCCAACTCGAATCATCTGGCTTGAAGCCACTCAAAACTATTATTGATGGCACGTCCACAATACAAGTACATGTACATGTATTTGTCATGTTTGTGAGGCAGTTTTACCACAAACGGTTTAATACCGTAGGGGCATAAAATTGAATCACAAGTGTGCCCTTTTTCCGATGAAAATTTGCAGGTCAAAATCTATGGGTAAATCTCATTAAATACATAACACTCTCATTAAGTGCTGCTTATTCTTTCCTTCAATTTTATAAATTGCAGATGCAATGAAGGTATTAGAAACCAGCTACCCGGTACTTTGACAGAATTGAGAAGTACTAGAAAAGAGGCAAACACAGTAGACAGAAAAGTCCCCTTAAAAGTCCCCTTCCATCCTACAGGAAAACATGCATAAAACATGTTGCCCTTTCAGATTGCAAATGACAATCTTAAAGGGGTTTAAATTTTTCTCTATTGCAGAAAAACTGCTAACCACAAAAGGCACACCGCAAACAGTGCGTGTGCAGTGAGTGAAACATTAATTTTAAGTATAATCTTTTTCGCAAAATGACCTTTACCAAATGACTCAGACTCGATTCTGCAGAGCATCACTAATCACTGCATTCTGCTGTGTGTACACGAACAATGTTTGGTAGGATTCCTGGGATATTTGCACACACAGTCACATTGGAAACTTGAAATCCCCATCAATTGCTCTCTCTCTCTATTTCTCTTTTCGTTTTTTGGACAATATGACTGCGAGCACGCTGAGAGTGGAATGTGTCGCTAATATGGAAAATGGGGACGGGCAAACATTGAGAGATCAAAATAAAGTGGAGCCTTTCTGTAATCCATGTATTGAGGTTAAAGAGCATCTCTTACAAAGTTGAAGTTTTTATGTTTGGTTCACTTTATGACAAATTATTACTCTCTGAACTCAGAACACTATTTTACGGCGCGAAGTTTCCTTTAGTGCAATAAAATCAAAGTTGAATTTGATGTCGCAACACGATTCAGCTCCATCTGTTGTGAAAACCATGTTCATATTTAATGCATGCAAATGATATACGTCTGACCCCTTAATATCGTGTTACTCGGTACGGGCCAAGTCATGTGTGTGTGTGTTTCGAAACATGGTGCCTTGAGTAGACCCAGGAGAATGGGTTGAATAGGTCTCCACAAGGAATTTCTAAAGGTGTGTAGGTCTCCACAAGGATTTCACGAAACTGATATTTGGAAATTGCTCAAAAAAGGATTAATTTGTAATGCGTAAGGATCTGTCGCAAATTGGAGTGTTTCAAATAAGGGGTATTCGGTCGAAATTTCAGTCCAGGAGAGTGATTCATTTTGAAATGGGAGTGTTTTGAAAACATCGTTTCACACGCGGCCGAATTAGTACTGGAGAACAAAGCCATGTCTGCACAAGGATACAAATTTCATTGTGTGTGTGCACACATGTATGTGGATGTGTGTAAGTAAGGAATATATACATGTACTTAGCTGTTTTTCCCGACATTATTTTATGTTTCGGTGGATTGTTCGAACTTATGAACATGCCGAGGTCCTGCATGGTCAGTGGATGTTCTCAGAATTGCCTTGAAATCCCAAAGTGAATATTCTGAGATTTCCAAAGGGAGATTTGAAGACACACAGAAAGTGAGTCTGGTTTATCAACCACATCACACACAGTCAGATTTCAAGTTGACCAAGTGGTCTCTGATGTGCAGTGAACATTTTACAGAAAACTGTGCTGATGAATCAGCGATACTGAAGACGACTACGTTGGGTTTGAAATCTCAGTTTCCTCTGAAGAAAGGCTCTGTCTCGATGTTAAGTCTCCTCATCCTGTCGCAAATGGTCAGATTCCCAGTTCGACAAGGCAGCGATCTGGCATGTCTGGAAAGGCATTTCGGAAAAGAGTAAGGGCCAGGGTAGGATGGGTTCAATACTCTGTTACCACTGTACTGAGAAATTGTGGTTTCTTCAGAGGCCATTAAAGCACTTTGTTTATGAATAAATAAAGTGTATACTGTCTGTGTGGGATTTACTCCATGACCGTGCACTACATCATCCACCACAACAGGGGACAGGCTCAGGTTCCTCACCACGAACGATCGGTTTCTCGGTGTTCTGCCTTCGTTGTCTGACCGGGAGTCGGGCCAGTCATCATCACTTGCTGAGGCCAGTGAATTGCCTTGGAAATCTTTGTTGTTAAGTTCTTCTGAATACTTGCTTAAATTTTCCCAACTACATGCAGTGTATTGTCAGATTCTGCAATAATTAATTTCCGATCTGGACATGCATGGATCTCGGGGAGTACTGTAATTTCTGGAATATAAATATGTTTGGCAGCTTACCGGTATACAGCAAAGTTTGAAGGATAAAATCTCAAACCACAGAGAATAAATACAAACTCGAGTTGTCCGCATTTCGAGTTATTAATGGAATTCGCCCAGTCATGAAGTCAAGAAACACATACATGAAATGTGTACGTAATCTTAAACTTTACTTTGCTCTGCTGTGGCTTCATTTTTTAGTGATTATTTTCCCACTTGTTATTAATTCCCAAGGTGTATTTTTTTGCAGACAAATAATCATTTTACTAAGCTTTTTTATTGTTGTTACCTAAAGATTTCTTTCTACCATTAAATAAAAATCAACTGCTTCGGTGGTGTACCTTTGTGCGCCAGATCTTTCATTTTTTCACCAATCATGGTCAGCGTCACATGCCACAGAATTTCAGGTTTATCACTTTGTGCTTTCTGATGACAACACTTTCTGTGGTCACATGGTTATCAGAAAGAGTCAGTGATTGGACTGTCTATGAATGGGTCTGTGGCAGCAGTCGGGCTTGCCTGAAAACAAGGTTTGTTGAGAACACGGCAGTGCGTGTACCATGTGCAGCATGAATGCAACACAGGCGGTTCCAATGTGATAACCCGAACCAGGGTCTCGTGGTGGATTTTTCATTTTTGAAGCGATCTGGCGGTGTTTTTTGATCAGCGTCACAAAAACTTTGAGATAACCGGATGTAGTGTTGTGGAAAGTTACAAAGGTATTTTTTTACATAAAAGCGTAATCCTTCAACAAGAAGTAGTTGGCCTCTGAGATAAAACGATCTTTTGACTTAACTGACTTTGAGTCATCAAAACTTTATTGTACGCCCCTAACTGCATAACTTTGCTGGCTGCTAGAAAAAAGGGCAAGAGCTCATGCAAAGCCCAAACAGGAAAATCAACCAGCCTGCAAAAAGTAGTAAATTTGAGGACTTCAAATTCTTTTTTATGGTGACACATGTTCGCACTTTTTTAAAAAACCATTGGCGCACTATACCGGCACCTTCAGCACGCAGCACCCTCGTGGTCGGATCATCAGCACTGCGGCGCAGCCTTATATGCTGACTTTAAATATTAATTTGCCGATTTTTGCGTGTTGCGGCTTTTACACCGGGTATATTCCGAAAATTACGGTATGTGGCTATGGCTGAAATGTACTGTACGAATGCACAGGATGCTAAGATGCATTATTCCCTCCCTAAACAAGCATGGGGGTCAACTTGCAAAACTAATGAAAAGCTGTCATATTTAAAATATATCAACAAATTCTCACTGTAGATTATAAATTCATGGATACCAGACTATCATGTTAGTTCTTTTCCTGCTGTTCCTTCCTGTACTGTGTGAAAAAAATGTGGTAGGTCCAGCATGTGTGTGTGTAGCTCATGCTAGTGCATATTTGGGTTCCCCCTCATTTCTGTTTTCTCCTCAGTGACGTTGTGTAAACAAACGCCTGACCTTTACATTTTTCAGACTTCATGTCTTGGCGCGCACAGAAAAAAAATTCATTTTTCAAAGTATTTTGAGTAGCCTAGGTTGTAAAGACAAACCTTCTTGCTCTCGGTTTGGACATATTAATTTAAACAGGTAAAAGTCAGAGAGAACAGATTTTATTTGGAGGTGCTCTTTGAGGGATGGGATGGTTTAGCTTTGCATGGTGTACATGTATGTTAACAACAATTTCAGTGAAAAAAGTAACTTCTATGGATATTTTCATTTAAGAAAATGGAACATGTAGACCCACTGGAAACTTTTGTGAACATACACGTACATGTGAAAATAACACTCCTTGGTCAAACGTGTACATGTACATTTTGGGTTGATATGCAGCTCCTGTTTAGATGTCAAAATACAAACCGTAATGAGCGATGCACTAGTTGTCGGCCACTTTTGTACCTGTACATGTACGGTAGTATTATGTATGCTGGTTAGAGCAAACATACATGTATCATGATACCGGTATACACATGTACATGTAACAATTTCCTGTTATTACTTTACAAGACTTGCAGTACATGTATACCAAATAACACAGTAAATACTTGGTACCTTTCAGCACCACACACGTACACAAGGCACAACTTGCAATTTTTCTTTTGACTTTTTAAGACGCTGCTTTTAGAA